CATAGTGTTTGACGGCCACGTGTTCAGGCTGTCGACTGGTGCACACTGCATTTTCACTATCAATCTATCTATCAACTATCAATCACACATTTGGCTCTTCAGACAAAACATGCTGCCTAGTGTATACAAGCCCTCTGTCCTTGATAATAAAACAATAAATATGAGAGAAATAAATACCCCAGTCATTCAGAACATTGGAAGAGGATTGAAAATCACATGTGCAAAATCGTCTTATTTAGGGACAGTCACTTCTTCCAACAGGCAGAACAGTTTCTTAATGCTGTACCTCCCATGTCATGTGTACTCTGAATGGGAGTTTAGTACACTTAAGAGTGTTGGTTATGCAACCTAACCTTGCAGCGTCCCACACACATGAAAAAACTAGACATGTGCTCGGGCACCAAAATAGAGAACTGCAGGAAGAGCAGAGACATTTGGTCCTTGATATACAGTCACTCACATTTCACCTCCCGATACAGCTTCTCCAAGATCATAAATAGCAGCAAAACCCAAGCTCACAGAGTCCTTATCCTTCACTTTGTCCTGGCTGATTTTTTTTTTTTCCTCCATTGTCTTTTGTCAGCTGGCATTCACAGAATGAGACAGCTCCATGAACCCACAGAAGGGGACAGAAGCTCCCTGGGATTCCCTGGCATGAGCCCTTGGGGTAGGGGTTCAGCGCGACGTCACTCCCAACTGTGTCTTCAGGTGCTCGTACACCACGTAGCTGATGCTGACGGCAGGGATGACTTTGAGGAAGTTGGGGGCCAGGCCTCTGTAGAGCCCCACTGGACCCTCGGTCTGCAACACCTGCTTGAAGAGCCCCGTCATCGTCACCGGCTGGCTACCCTCCGTGACAGCTGTGAGAAGACAACAGGTTACACTTCAGTGTTGCACTGAAGATAGTGCAATGAAACAAGCATGTGAAGATTAAGACCTTCCACCCAGACAAGTTATGTCCCCACCTGTGCTCTAACTGGTTTATCATTAATGGTTTACTGGATACCCCATTACATCATCCACCTCCTAACTCATGGAGGTGTCCTTTCTTTAAAGAGCTGCTGCTTCTTTCAGAAACGATTTAACTCTCTATTTCAAATTAACGGGCATCATATTGGTCTAAAAAACAAAACCATTTTCCACCTGAGGCATTTAAAGTACTGAGACACTAAAGATGAATAAATCTGGCGTCGACAAAGTCACTGTTCTTAGTTTAGTTGAAGCACACACAGTGTTGTAGATTCATTGTTTCTGGAGCCCCACCTTGCGCTTGCATGCGGGTTCGGACCAGAGCCAGAGGGTAACTAGCGAGCTGACCGCAGGTGCTGGACACGGTGCCACAGGCCAGCAGGACGAACATGCCCGGATCGCCACTGGTGGTGCCGTACCGCTGCAGGTAGCTGTTCTTCAGTGTCTGAGAAGGCAAAAATAAGAGGTGAGAAAAAGACAAACTTTCTGCTACATCCACATCTCCAGCCACTGGGTCATCCAGATTCTGATGTGCACTCCAGTCACATGTGCCTGCAGCTCTTCTAATATTTGTTCACTTTCAGGCAACATGTTTTAATACCACACTTTTTAAATGTGAACAAATACTTCTTTCAATCTCCTGTTTATCATTGTGCTTTATATTTGAGCACTTGTTTAATTGGTGTGCAAAGTTGTGTATTTGCAGCATAAAGATGAACATTCTAGCTCTGATCAGAAGGTGTGTGTGTGTGTGTGTGTGTGTGTGTGTGGAGTTTATTAGCAGGGGGATAAAACCCCAGTGAGGTCTGATAAGATGACTGCTCACCTCGTACACTGCCAGGTCGATGCCGGCGTAGGGGATGATGCCCAACATGTTGGGGACGTAGCCTTTATAAAACGCTCCAAGTCCTTCTCTCCTGAAAATCTGCCGTGCACAGTCTGAGATCCTGGTGTACTGCCCGGTCTTTCTCAGAGTAAGACAAGTTTTCAGGACCTGGGGACAGGTTGAGTAGAGAAAACGTCACTTTTCCCTGTCAGGCCTTGAGAACTCCTAATAAGGTTTCCTTAGGCCTTTAATTGTTACAGTAGAAACAGACAATCACCTCCATGGGGTAGATGGTACTCTGTGCGATCACTCCAGCCAGAGATCCTGCGACAAACCGCTCCAAGATGTTCAGAGCCTCCTTATCGCTGCCAATTATCCGTTTAATCTGGAGAAGCCAAGAGAGAAAGAGTTAGTGAAGAGACACCAGAAACACTGAGCTTCATAAACTCAGTGTGTACGGTGCAGCACGCAGCAGGAGGCTCAACATACCTGTTCGTATGCCATGAACTTCAGGGCAGATTCAGGGGCGATTTTGATGATGTTCACCCCATTGCCTCGCCACAGTGACTTCATACCACCCTCTTTGATCATCTGCATCAGTCCGCTCATTACGCACATGTTGTTGGTTCGAGTTCCATAAACCTTTAATATAAAAAAAGGGGTGGGGGGAGGAATCTGTTAAACAGCTGTAAACCGTTCAGATGTCTGACCTGATTTTACAGGCTGTGCACATTATTTAAATTGCTGTTGCACTTTATGAGTTAAACACAGTGGGGGAATAAAAAGGCCAACTGGGTCAGGTTTCTGGGTCACAACTCAATAAACTTGACGGTTTCAAGGTCCACTTTCCACATAGCAACTGGCGCAAACCAGGGCCACTGACACAGGCCCTGAACCTGCACAGCTAAGACCTTCAGCCCAATGACAACTGAAGATTATGCAGCTGAGGGTGTAACGAACGTATGGGAGCTGCCATTGGTTGGCCGTGTAGCCTGGCTATGACAAATTAACAGCCCACAGCCTCTGACCACTCGCTCTTACGCATCAACTTATGACACTCATGCAACTCACTATTGAGCAATTTCTGTGAAGTTGCTACTTTATCAACTGACTGTGGCAGTTGCAAAACAAGTTCAACTATGGCCTCCAGGAGAATCTCCTTCACATTTTAATATTAGAGCTTCAATCCAAGTGGTTCCATTTAGATACTGGTTTTTGGCAGGATGTACAGTTCGACTTGGTGTCTGAGTAAGTGGCTACAACTGGGTCATATCGCCCTCACGACAACGAGAACTCTCTGCTTTTGCATACAGTGAGTAAGATAAGAGTTTTAACAACCTCCTCCACATGCAGGCCACCTCCCAAACTCCCCAAGGCCTAGAAAATAAAGTTGTGTTTTCACACTCTTCGGTTCAGTGCCAGTTTTCAAATTAAAACCGGGGGCAGGGTATCTTACCTGCATCATGACTTTGAGTCGGTCCAGAGGAGCAGTGCAGGTCCTGGAAACCGCTCCAGCTCCTCCACCGGCGACCAGGTGTCTCCACCACATCCCGGTCTGCCTCTCCTCAACAGTGAACTCATCAGGCACCATCAGGTTCTCACCCACATCGAAAATCTGCCAGAAATGATTAGATATACAGTACATTTAGTCAAATGCCTTCAAGAAAACTCCTCTAATTGTGCTGGCGGCTTAAAGATGACCTCCAGCTGTCCTGCCCAGACACTGAAAGACATTATAAGATAGCAGACCAGAAGAGGCTAGTGTCATGAGGACAACTTCTGCTTTTATTAAAGCCTTTGTTGTATCACCACCAACTGTTGTCATTCAAGGCTCCGGCTCCTAATCAAACAGTGCATTGCTGTTTGTGCACCTCTCTGAACATAGTAAATGCCACAGTGAAGGTCAAACCACGCGACTGTCACTGAGCACCAGGTTTGTTTTCACAGGCTCCGCAGTATCGGTCAGGGATGCACTGAACGAGTCTGAAGACACGGCTAAACTGAACTGTCAAAACTGCAGATGTGGATCTTTGGCCCCTTTTAACAGGAATTTGAATTATTTTACAGAAGTTAATTTGTCTCACTGAGCTGAACAGCAACCTACTCTACTTTTGTTACATAATTTCACAGGGTGGATCAGACTATTTATTGCCTTGCCCTAATTAGGGGACACCACCGGCCTGGCTGGTGTACAGTTTCAGTGTCACACTCTGGTTGCCTTTCATTTGGCCTCCTGAGAGGGGTACCTGCAGGTCTATTCCTGTCCTGTTTCAGCCTGTCAGTCCTTCATATGTGAAAAGTCGAGGCTGCCAAACTCATTAGATGGCACACTCTCTGTGGGAGCTGTACAGGATCACTTCAGTCTCCACCTGCTTCCCTTTTTCCAAAAACGCAGGACAGATTAGCAATTCCTTCAGACATAAGCCTCCTGAAATGGGCCAGACTCCTCCCAGAGCTTAACTGCTGACACCGCTTGTGCTGATGAACCATTTAAGCAATCAGATTTTCAGTTGGCCCATTTAGTCAGTAGCATACAACACTTTATGTACTTTGATTAGATTCAGTATGACTAATACCACTATCAGATTTAAGACTGGGCACAAGTAGGTAGGGGTGTGATGATACACTTAGTTCATGAGACGATACACAATACTGGGTTCATGAGAACAAGACGATATTTTAACACAAAGTCTTCTATGATGAACTATATGACTGGGAAAATAGTTTTTTAACTCAACAAAAGTCAGAAAATGCAAAACAATCCAGTTGCGTTTTGAAATGTTTTAACTCTTCCACACTGGCTGCTGCTCTCGTTCTGCTGTGCACTGATATCATGAAACTGCTTTCATCTCGATGAGACCGACAAGAAAGTCACGTTTTAATACGGTGAGCTCTTGTACCATCAGATCTCATCACAGCCCTACAACTGGATCTGACACCAACAGCTGAGTTTTATGATTCTTTGCATATTACTTTAGATTTGTCAAACCAGTGGTTCAACCCTCCCACTTTGGCTCTGTGTGTGAGAGA